TAAAGTGCCCTGGGTTTAGTGTGTCACCTTGTTAGTGTCTAATGCTTTTTTATATTAAGTCTTTTTGAAATTCCCAGCAATCCCTATTACCTTTGACATTTGAACTAATTTTATCAATTTCAGTCTCCCTGTCATGGTCTGTGGTCACTAATCAATATAGGATCATCAGATAATTCATGTTGGAAAGGACCTCAGAAGGTTCCTAGCACAACCTCCTGCTCAAAGCAGGTCAGCTCTGAGATCAGAGCAGGTTGCTCAGCACTATATCCAGTCTGGTCTTGAAAACCTCCAAGGATGGAGATGACACAACCTCTCTGGGCAACCTGGTCCTCAGTTTTTCCTGACGTCCAGTCTAAATCTCTGTTGTTTCAAATTGCTCCCATTGTCTGGCTCCATCTGCTCGATGACCTCGCTGTAGGTAGTGGCAGGCTGCTGTTAGGACCCCGGTATGCCCAGGCAGTCTCCCATCCAAGTACGAAGTGTGCCCAACCCTGCTTTAGCTTCAGAGATCAGCTGAGCTCAGGCATGTTGCATGGTGTGGCCACAGGCAGATGTGAGCCACTGGTACTGCTGCGGTTTCATTTCTGGAGGAATTTCACTGTTAACCTGCTAAAAATTGCCCCTGCATCCCTTCTCCGTTGCATACAGTTTAGCCTAAGTGATTTCCAGTCTGATGCAACTTCTCACCTTATGACAACTGAGCTTCTTTAGCAGCCTTTTGTAAAGGTTTTGTCAAAGGATTTCTGAAAGTCAACACTAATTACACGTACCAGTGTTCCTCACTGCTAATTTGACACACTTCAGGAATTCTAATAGAGCCCATCAGAGACATGACTTCCCCTTGCAGAAGCCATGCTGCTTTGTCACGATGATAATTTGCCTGGTTAAGTGCTCTGTAGCTCTGCCACAATCGAGATTTACCTTTTCACGTAATTAACCCAGTTCTGATGCAGGACTTTCTGGTCTGTCTTGATAAGATTTTCTCTCCCCTAATGTTTCCCTTTAAAAACAGACACCACATTGCCTGCCCTCTAGTCTTGTGAGGAAGGAGCTGGTTTTTTGTGATAGGTAATGTATTTTTGGTAGCAGCTCAGGCAGTGTGTTCATGAGTTCCTGGAGAGTTTTGGGCGAGTGCCAGCTGGTAGAGACGACATGCTGCAAACCAAAGTGATTTGGATGTTCCATGAGCAATTTTTTTTGTCTTGAGGTTTTGCTCCATGCTGCCCATGCAGAAGGGCTCGGTGGGATCTCCCACCTGTCGCTGTGGAAGGACCGTGTAAGCAACGTTCCAGTTCGCTTCACTGCAGTTGCTGGACTTTACCAGCAACTTTTTCTGGCGAGGTTTCAGTGGTGCTTTCCTTGCCCACAATAGTTCGTGCCAGTTTCTGGAAACTTTTGTTTCAAAGAGGCTTTTTCTGGCAGTATGGTGACCTATATGCAAACAAATGCACAGCATGTTCTTTTGAGCTGGAGAAAGGCTTGCTAAGACATTCTCTCTTCGGTTTGAAGAAATACCAAGTGTGTAACAATGATTTCCATGAAGAAGGTTCTGCAAACTCAGCATAATACTCAATTCAGCAAAAAAATACGCGGTTTGAATTAACACTGTATAAAAGACTTCCAACCCAGCTTGCCTCAGAGTTCAGAGTTAATACCCAATCCCTGCTTTTTTCTTCCGAGGAGAGGAAAAAAAAAAATGTTGAATTCTGCTGATTTTCTTGCTACTATATGCCAAAGCCTTATGGTGACCTTTTCTCTTTGCACTCTAAACCCTTTCCCCGTGAAAATGAACAATATACTTCCCAGTGCAGGGTTTCACCATCTTGCTCCTGTCCTGCAGGATAAGGCCCTCTTGGAGAGGAAACACCTCATGCCTGGAGGTCATTCAGTCGATGGCAGATTGTGGAAAGGGGAAAACCGTAAATCACTTGCATTGAAACATTAAAAGCTGATAAATAGGTGGTCCTGAGCCATAGCCCAGCCCCAGCTTCCCTGTGCGCAATGCAGGGCTCGGGGTGCTTCCTGGAGTGGCCAGGGGCACGGCCACGGGAAGTCTGTGTCGGGCTGAGATTGCAGCCGCAGACCAGGGCATCCATGTGGGCTCTCAGCAGCTGCGGGAAGGGGCACAGCGTGGATCCGCTTTCGGGAAGCCCCTGGAGTCACAACGGTAGCTAAAGACTGCTGGAGCCTTGGGAAAGCATGGCGATATAAGCAGCTGGGTGGAGGTCATTCCCAGGAGCATAGCTAGGGATCCGCTGGAGCGAAAGGTGCGATTTACAGCCCCAGCATCTCAGTACCTCATTGGTCAGGTTTCCTAGCATAGAAGGCAGGCTTGCTCGCCAGTGGGGAAATACACCGTGGTATTTTCAGCACTTCACAGGGCATGCAATGAATTTTTTTAAAAAATACACTTGATGAGAGCTGTAGTTAAAAAGTGGGAAATTACTAATTAGTAACCAAGTAATTCAGGGTTTGATTCACACAAATTGCACTTTTACTGTAAAAAAGGATTGCAATTTCAGGCAAACAGTATTTTTTGTTTTTTTAAAAAAGGCACTGAAAATATAATTGATGTTCTGTTCATTACCTGCCAGGTTTCAGGTTTCTTGTACATTTTTTCATCATCTGAGACATTACAGGCATAAGACATGCCTGGAAAAAAAGAAAAAAAAAAATGAACGCTTTCCCCTTTGCATTGTCATTTGCAACTCTCAGGTTTTCCCACTAGATTGTTCTTGTAAACTCTTGCATTTCATAGCACGCAAGAGTGACCACTTAGAACATCTATATAACACTATCGTTAGCATCAGAGTTCAGTTACACAGAAAGCTATGAGTGGGATGAGCTAAGTATCATTTTCTCTTTTACCTTACTGTAGTGCTAATAAAATGATCGCTGTCAATTCTTCTCATTAGTCTCAATTTATGAGGGGGAAAAAAAGAAGAATGAATTTTCTCCTAATTAAGAAATCCAACTGGTAGCATAAAAAAACCCACAGTGTCTCCCTCCCTTACCTGTGTGCAGATTGATAAGCAGGTTTGTATCTTCTCTCTAGATACGAAGTCGGTGAAGGGCTAATGGATTCTGGGTTGGTTGGTTGTTTTTTTTCTGTTCATGTAGGCATTTCAGATGGGTACTCTGAAGCGTAGTGTGAGTCAGCAGTAAATACTGAAAATACCGGTAAAAGGGAAGCTGCAAGCATCCCATTAAGAATTCCAGTAATACTATAGTTTTGTAACGTTGGCAAAAACACTTATTTTGTAGAAAGAGTCATCACAGCCACTAGCTTAAAAGTACTCCTATAAGGGTGGGCAGATTGAGTTCTTTTTGAGAAGTCTAGTAGATACTTGTGCAAGTAACAAGCAGATCCTCTTATGTCCATTTTTGTCTAGATTATTAGTATCTTTCAAATCACACTGTAGGAAAATGGTACCCTGGTTTGAACACATGGCAAGAGAAATAGTTTGAAGTCATGTTGTGTCTGCATGTGTACCCGTATATTGTACTAGCAAAGGAAAATGCTGCAAAGAACCATGTTAAAAAGTAGCAGAGGAGGAATTTTGCTTCCACTTTCTGCAGTGGTCAGATATTTGCAGTGCAGCAGTATTATACCAAAATACCTCTGTCTGTCGCCCTTAGCCCTATATGTCTCTGAATCTTATCTCTCAGAAGGTGGTTGTTGTTTGGAAAAATAATTCCTTAAAATACTTGAAGTTTGTGTGTTTGTACGACTTTCCTTTCGGCAGCAGATAGAATACGTGCAAATAATCCTTTTTCCCATGTAAGCCTTAAAACAGGTATGTTCGGTTTGTTTTGGGGTACATAGTGTGTTCAGACACAGAACAGGCTTTTACAGTTTTCTACTCAGAGAAATTGAAATGGGAAAATAATGCAAAGAGGATTCAGTCTGGTGCTGGGCAGAAGGTTTTGGGTAAGAGAAGAATTACTTCAATGTGTCCAAATGCAAAGGGGGGGTCATGCAGTGTTGGGTGTTGGGGGAAGCTGACCCACCACCACCACCGCACGTCTGATTCCCATGTTCAAAGGCGATGCTGGTTGCAGAAATTGCAGAACAGCAGGCAGGGAACTTCCTAGCTCAGACAGTTGTAACAGGTGTCTTACATCCTTCCAACCTCTGCTTTGCTGTCAGGAGGGGGAGACATCTGCAGGCAGGAGTGGTCCCAACACCCACGTGCTGCCCTGCCCCCCAGGGCTGGACCTCTACACGTGCTGGGGGATTTTCTTGGGTCTGTGGGTCTGGAATGCAGAAATTGCTCTTTTCTGTAAATTACATTAAACTGCCGGTGAAAGTGTGTTGCTTTAGCCATACCTGGAAATGGATTTCTTCTAAGCCACTAAACATCTTTCTCCCCCCCTTTAGGCTTAAGATAGCTCTAATTCTAATTGAGAGATGAGGTCGCTGTAGTTAGTGGCTTGTCTTCGTCGGGTACAGTTCCACCTTGCATTTCACTTGGGCAGAGGTCATCAGTGTAAACACGCAGCACTGCCTGTCCGCTGGAGAATAGGCTGGGGTTTTGAAGGTTTTTTTCCCTTAATCTGAAAATAACAGAAGCAAGCAGAAAGCCCTTTTTTCACTATTAGAAGACCCGACAGTCACTCTTGCTTTTTTTGCTAAAATCTTCTAAAATTTCCCATGTCCCCATGTTATTGCCTCTACTAAATCAAAACTCGTAGATGCGTAGTAGGTGGTTGAAAGAAAGCACTTTGCAGTCCATCTAAACTCTACTTTGGTTTTGAGGGGGGAAGACAAAGAGGGGTTAGGTAATGGAAGCATGGTGGAGTGAAAGCCTGTGGCAACGAACGCCCTTCCCCATACCTTTCCCGAGCAACTTGCTCAGATTTAGGAATAAATGGGCTGCTTGGCTGTGGTCCCGGGGTATCCAGAAACAGGGCAGCATTCGGCTGCGCCGCATTCACCTGGCGGCTGCATTGCTCCTCACCACCTTGTTTGTGTTTTCTTCCTCCCTTCTTCCCTGCAGGGTGTGAACGGCATGTCTGTGGATGAGAAGACTGACTCCCCCATGTATGTGTATGAGTCAACGGTGCACTGTACCAATATTCTCCTCTGCTTAAATGACCAGCGGAAGCAGGACATTCTCTGTGACGTGACGCTGATCGTGGAGGGGAAGGAGTTCCGCGCCCACCGGGCTGTGCTGGCTGCCTGCAGCGAGTACTTCTTGCAGGCCTTGGTAGGGCAGACGGAAAATGACCTGGTGGTCAGCCTGCCGGAAGAGGTATAGTATGTCACCATGCCCCTGCCATAAACACGAGCCCCCTCCATCCCACGCGGTGAGGAAGACCTCCACGGTCCACTAAGGAGGCCAAGGGGAGTGCGTCACGAGTGTTGTCAGAGCCTACCCCAGTACGGCTCTGGATGTGGTTTTTGTGTTTTGGGTGGGTTTTGAATCGCTGAAGGATGGACATGTTCACGCCACCCTACCTCACCAGCAGAAACTCCTAATGGTTGTGGCAGCAAAGCTTTAAGATGCTTCAGCTCACCTTTCTCACCACTGCCATGGGAGTCATACCCAAACGCTTAATTACCGTAGCCTTGTTCAGGGCATTATCAGGACCTTGATATTCTTCTGCTCTTCCAGACAGGAAATTTGAACAGGGTGATTTGGCTGCTAGATGGCAAGTTGTTGTTGAAAAATAGTTTGAGCTGTCATGTTGTTGTGAGTCTCATTGCTGTCCACCCCTCTCTGGCAGCTCATGTCCTCGTCCTCCTCTTTCCTCTTTTCTGCACCTCATTCAGCCTTGCTTCCTCATGTCTCCCCTCACGTCGAGTTTGGGATTTAACTGCTTCAGCCTGTGTGTTTTCCACCGAGGAACCACGAAGATGGTCTGCCTTTTGGTTTTTCTCCTGCGGCATGGCTCCTACAGCAGGAAGCCAAGGGACATAGAAAATACATACCTCACTGGAAAGTTTACTTTATTTTACCACAAAATCTTACTGGCTGGCTTCCACCCCCACTGTAATTTCCTCACAGCCATATGGCCGTGACAGCACAGCTACCGTAGGGCACGCCAGTGGCTTTGCTGCCCACAGAGGGGAGACGTGTGCCTGCTGGCCAGGGCTGCTGTCACCCGCCACCTCGGCACTGCCTGCCCGGCATCTCCGGCTGGGATGGGCGGCACGAGAAGGGTGGCAATGTACCCAGGGCACAGGAAGGCAGTCGCTCAGTGGGAAGGTACTCTGGCAAACAGAGGGGTTTTCACCATCATTTGCTTAACGCCCATGAAGAAGCATGGTGTGTTTTTAAATGATGACAGGTCCTGAAGTGTCACACACCATTTTTCCCCCTCTGGTTTAGCTCTCCAGAGACTTCAGCGTCGTCGTGATGTTGTCACGGCACAAGTTGGAGAGCATTAGAAGAAGTAGGTCACCGGGTGTGACTTCATGAGTCTTGACACTGAATATTACTCATGAAGAAATTTCAACCCAGACATTTTGCATAGGAGTTTAGAGATAACGCAGAGGTCGTGCTAGGATGCGCACTATGATTCTGCAGTGTCCACTAATAATTTCCAGTGGAAGAATTGAGTCTCAGTCAGTGTCGCATAGCTTTCGCATTGCAAAGCAAGGGCAGGAGCAGAGAGGTGACAAAACATGCCCAGGGGTGCACAGGTACGAAGAGGCAGGAGAGTATCAGCACTCTTCTACAAAGCCTTGGTGAGACCTCCATGTATGATTCAGGTCCTGCTAGATACAGAAAAATAATTTAAATTCAAATAAGCATATACAAGAGTGACTGAGATGTTCAGAAGAAGGAGCCTGGCCTAAAGGAGGAGAAGACAAGACCATGGCAGGTCCATACTGCTGGCGTGACAACTGCGACTTGCTACAGCTCTACGTAGGCAGAGGAGATGAAACGGCTGAGAGGAGGAGTTTCTCTTTAATACTAAAAGACAGTGTTGACACAAGCATTGATTGGTTTCAACTGGCTTTTAGTAAAAGTAGATCGGAAATTAGAAGATTTCTAATCACAGCAGCGGTGAGGTGCTGAGCCGCAGGCCAGTGGGAGGAGCAGGGTGGTGGAGGGATCGTGTGTCTGCACTTGGTGACCCAGTCCTATGTTCATATGACACTAAAGATTTAAAACACAAAGGTTTGTCTTTTTGTATGTTCTATATGAGATACTACGTAAAAAAAATTCCTCCAGTCCAACCATAAATGATTTCTATTTAAGTGAATCTCCTTTGGATAAATGAAGTATTGGAGTTTTACATTTTATAATGTATCTCAATGAAAGATCAAAAAGCTTTAGTGACTTAGGGTTACACTGGCTGCTGTTGCAGCTCCAGTGAAGTCCATGGATTTGCAGAAGCAATGAATCTAGTTCTTAAGGTTTTTCCCAGTACTCTGAAATTGTCATGCTTCACCTAAGACCACCACTGTTATTTTGCCACGTGCTTCTATTAGTTGCAGAGCGCCAGGGCTTTAACTTTCTTATCCTGGAAAAGAACTCTCTTAGCCTATTAAAAAAGATACCTACAGTTGCCAGTGCTTACTTGTACAGATATTTTCCACACGCAAATTAATTGCTGTTAACTGCACTGAATCTAATTTGCTCGGTGGCTACTTTATTTGAATAGCTATATGTGAGGTGGCCAGTTAAATAATTTCCTCACCAATGCTAGTCACTTGGGGTAAAGAGAGCTGCCTGGTGCACTTCGATATTTCTCAGTTATTCCTTGGTTAAGGTGCACATCTCTGCTTCTGGCGTTGCTGTGCTTCAGAGTGCTGGGCGCTTTGGTAGGTGCCCGTGCGTAGATATGGGAAGTGCCTCCAACAAAGAACAGTGTCGGAGCTCCCCACAAAAGGAACTGAAACACTCCTGGTTTTTAAGAGCTGATAGAGTAGCGGAAAAACCATCTCAGTTATACTGCATTAAAAGAAGTTATCAGGGTCTTTTTCAGTTCACTAGCTAACGGCTCTTCCCAAGGCTATTGTTTTTAGTCCGTGGTCTGCAGAGCTCTGGCAGCCCATTTCTAAAGGTATCTGTGAAAACTGACTTAATCTGTCATGTAGGGGGTTTTTCCTCTAGTGGAAAAATTTCAAACAAAAGTTGAAAGTTAATGTCCTGAGCCAATACTTTTTTCAGGCTTAGAGACAATTTATGTTGGCATATACTTGTTATAGAAAAACAGAGATTGAAAATCGTTTTTAAATATAGTCTCCGCAGTTCAAAACTTTTCCAAAGGTGACGATTGCTCCTAAATTAACAAAAATATTTTGAAGTCAACCATGCAAGCATTGCATTTTAAATTCTAGTGAGATTTGAAAACTGCTGAAGTATGCAATTGTGGAGAAAGGGCATTATTATTATTATTTCTCAAAGGTTTGATGTTGGAGCTGGATAAAGCTTTATATATAAAGCTTTTACGCTCATGTAATGTTGGTGTGAGGGAGCTTAACATCAAAACAAAAGAACTTATTTTTGATTATTCAAAGCAATAAATCTGCCTCTGAAGTCTGAATTGCAGACTTTTTTTTTTCCTTCATAGCATGTTGGGGTCTGTTGGTTAATCTGGCATCCAGACATTGTTAACTGTTGTCTAGCTAAACAGTGAACAGATGTTTTTTACATTATTTCTTGTTTATATCCAATTACAAGTGAGAGCAGTCTTTATGACATGCCAGTGATTTCAGTAGGGAGACATTGTGCACACACAGAATTGAGACTAGTTGAACTTACAGGGTTTTAAACTGCTGCAAAACCTGGTGTTAGACATTTCAGGTCAGTTCAGGTGTGACTTAATGTGCGTCAGTTCAAACCTTTTCCTAATCAACTTAAACTAAGTCAGTACAGAGCTAATTCTGCACTGATTGAAGAGTTTCCATAAACCCTTTGGTACCAGCCTTGTTAATTTGATCTCGTACTACACCTTTTGTTAAAGCAACGTATTTTAGTGTGTAGATAAGCGCATGGAAAAACAGCCACGTAATAACAAGGGCTGAGATGTGACCGTGGTGTGTGAAGTATCAGCCCCCAGAGCAGAGTTAGAGGAACGGAGTGTGTCAGCTGCCTACAGCTAATAAAAAGGACCCCATTAGCTCTTAATTTCTATGCTTTTCTCTTCATTTGCAGTTTTTGGTAAACAACAAGAACCTCGCCTGCTTTTCACCTAGGGTATTTTTCAGCAATTGTGCAGTTTTCCTCTAGCAGCTGCTGTTAAATGCAACCCAAAATTAATATTTTCCAAGAGCTGAGTTTTAAGCTGTAAAGTTACTCATTCACTCCATACCCCTAACTGTTGTTTTGTTTTATTTAATCACGAAAACTGGTCTTCCTTCCTTTAACAAGGCACTTAATTAAGCTTTTAATTCATGATAAGAAGTTAAATGGCACTTATGAGGCTTTTTTAATGGTTTCCACTTCCCATCCAGATTACAAAAAAAGGTGTGAGAGAGAGAGAGACACGGCTGTCAGCCAGGGGTATTGTAGGTCATGCCAATATTAGCTGGCAGCAGGCCATTATCCAATTAACATTGCTTCATCGCTGCAAGTAATAGCTCTCGAGTAGATGATTGAGTCATTCATGCTGTAGTGGTACTCTACTTTACTTGAGAAGGAGCCAGTGCTTCGTCGAATAGGCTTTTTATTCGCTATTATTACCTGCCTGGCTTTGCTAATAGAAGGGCACAGCGAGTCTATATGGGCAAGCTGAAGGCTGGGCGCTGGACAGAGGAGCATCGTCTGTGCAAACACCTTATTCCCTTGGTTTTCTGAAAGCTGAGGTTGCGGTTAAATGGTGAAAAGACAGAAACAGCAACAACAAATAAAACCCCTCACTTGCATTAGATTCCTACAGCTTAGAAAGGAGATTCCTGACCTTGCTTGCGTTTTTTTGACTTTGGGGTGTACATTTGAAAAAACCTTCACGTGGTCATTCCAGCCATGAGAGCACCGAATGCCTTCCTCTCTGGTGAAGTTAAACACAGGTCTTCTGAAGTAGTAGACCAAGCTTTCTCTAGCACTGGTCTGATACTATCCTTTCTGTTATAAAACCAACTTGCTTCTCAAGTAGGTTGGTTAGTTTTACCTGCAACCCTCGAATTTCTTGAATCTGTTTCAAACAGTGGTTACTGGTGACTTTTCAGTGCAATGAACTATCTGCTGGAAATGTTGCCTTCCAAAAGGATTAAGCGGAGTTGTCTGTGGCTTATAAATCTTCCAAGGGGCAAAGGGAAGCAGCATCTGTTTTAGGAAGAGGGGTTGGGGAACTTTTT